TACCAACCCTTGCGTACACACATCTATTAGTTTCCACATCTCTCTACTGAACATACTTTTTTAAAAAAATGCTCATGAATTCATACTAATTTCTTCTATTGCAATCCAACACCTCATGTTTCATTCTTGCCTTCCTCCTTTCCTAATTCATAACTTTTTCTTGGATAGTGAGAAGCCTGACTCTCATTATTGATAATATTTTTTATATGTTTAACCCTAATACAGATACAAATTAGTTTCAGAATAGCCAACCAAAAACCGTGTAAGAAACAAATCTTTTAACTAGAGCTTAGTGGTTGTGTGCAGTCCCTGGTGTCTTTATCCTTTGGCACCTTCATTGGAATCACTGTAAAGTTCCTATCTGGTCATTCCAATATCTAGGCCTTCTGGGTCTGCTGCTATTGACTCATTCCTGGTTTTGACCACAGGTCACATTTTCATTCCTCTTTGTGTGTCTTGTAATATTGGCTTTTACTTGAACATTTTGTATGAAAGAATGGTAGAGACGGAAGTAAACAACACTGACTCCAGACTGATTCTGTCTCATCTGCAGTCATGCTGGGTGTGAGCTTTGTGGAAACTTGAGTTTCAGTCCGTTTACCACCAGTTTCCAGTGTTTTAGGTCAGAATCAGACCTTGTTCTTCTGCAGGGATACAAGCACTGGTGAGATCCTGGAGAGCTCTTTTGCTTGACAGCTGAACCGGCCAGCTTTCTGGTTAGTTGGGAGACTTTTCTTCACTTTCCATCCCAGCTTCCAGTTGCTCTAGAATCTTGGGGAATTTATGCTCTCCAGCCCTGCGCAGTACTGCCATCCATTCTGTGGAGGCCCCTTGGCTTCCTGCCCTCCCGTCTCTTTTGGAGGGCAACTGCCTTGCCCCTGGGGGATACACTTCAAGCCTTCATGGGGCAGCCCTCTGGACACCTTGATTTTAGCCCAGTGAGACTGTCAGACTTCTGACATGAAGACTGTTAGATGATAAATTTATCTTGTTCTGAGCCAATATGTTTGTGGTCATTTATCACTGAAGAAACAGGAAATGGATGCCCTCCCCCTAAACATTCAGTAAAGACCTGGGGGAAAGAGTTGCAGGTGGGGAAAGTTGCTTTGGGCCTGGACCTATGGAATTCTGACTGTGTGAAGCAGCCCACTTCTGGCTATTAAAAGCTCGTTAAGAGTTGGGCTGGTGGTGTTGGGATGAACTGTGTCCTCACAAAATTAATATGTTGAATCCCTAATCCCAGCATCTCAGAGATTAACTGTATTTAAAGATAAGATCTTTAAAGAAGTAATAATGGTAGACAGGACCATATCCAATAAGACTGGCGTCCCTCTAAGAACAGGGCATTAAGGCACAGACACAAACAGAGGGAAGAACTTGTGGAGGCTTGGAGGAAGACAGCCATCTACTATACAAAGACAGAGACATCAGGATGAAACCAACCCTGCAACACCTTGATCTGGGACTTCCACTCAGCCTGTGGTGCTTGTCATGCCAGCCCGAGCAGACTGGTATAGCTGGCTTCTCCTGACTCCCCTTTACAGAGGGCACCTCCCCTTCCTGCCACTCCACAGGTAAGAAAGAAGTCATGGGTCTCTCATCTCCTGTCAAGGACTCATCACTTTCTGAAATTCAACTAATTTAAGCTTCTTTGAATCGTTAGCTCTCTGTTAGCTTATAAAAACAAAAATCACAATTTATACAGCTTAATTTGGTAGAAGTCTTCAAGCACTAATGCTTCTGAGAAGTGTTCTTCCACAGCCAGAATGAAAATCCCCTTGGCTAAGAGGTCCTAGTCTACAACCTTGGCATATTTTATAAAAAATTAAGGTACCAAGCAACCTTCGGAAGAACATGAAGTCACAGTCCCCCATCCCAACACAAACACACACATACACACACACACACTCCTTTCACCTCATAGTCTTGAGACAAATGCTCTTTAACCTGTAGAGTAGGTCATTTTGACCCTGTTTTAGGCCACCAGTGAACATATAAGTTTGTGTTGGTTTTTTCCCCTAATAGTGACCTTTCTTCCTTCCTTCTTTTCTTTTCTTCTTCACTACTGTGACCCAACAGACATGTAATAGAATGCCAAACTACACTGTAGGGCATAAGCTTCTGGAAAGTAATGGCAGTTATATGACAAGAAAGATTGCCAGCCCAAATCTCAAACCTCTATGGAAGTTCCTAATGATGGTACACCATGTAGTGGTATTTAAACAGTTCTCCTGGACTAATAGCTAATAATTCTTACATTTCTACTTCATATTACCTTTCTAAGTATCAAGACATCCAAAATATTTGTATGCCATCTGCTACCTCTTTTGTGCTAAGCTTTTTAAAAAATTTATCTAACACTTAACAATTGACTTTCTTTTTATAGGTATTCAGTGCAGTAAAATTTCACTTTAGAAATATCTTTCATATATTTTTAGACACTTCTCCTAGGGCCTTTCACCCTCCAAAGATAGAAGACAATTTTCTCATAATTCTGTAAGGCAGTGAATTTTATAGACATATGTATACATGTTTCATAATTAAATTGCTACTCAGTGTCTCACTGTTTAAGGGAGAGGGATGACCATGTTCAGAAGCCCAGAATCCTCACTCTGTCAATAATTATAATTACCAGTAAGACTAACAGAGTCAGTTCCCACATTGAGTGAGTGGCAAAGAGCAAAGTATTTAGGCCTTGAAGAGATATTGAGATCACTGAGGTAGAGATCACTTAAAGTACATTGATCCGTACAAATGCCATGGGTCAGATCAATCTTCAGAGACCGAGTTCTTAGCTTTGCATGTCCTGTGCTGCTTCTCATTCTTGAGGCATTTTCTGAACTGTCACAGACTCACCAAACCCCCAAAGCATGCAGAGGTGTCATTTACAGTGAGCCCTATAACTTCCAGGTAGACCACAACATCAACATGTGTATGCCAGGACGTATTGTCCCGGTGGGAAGTCTACATGGGAAGTCACGTGATTCTCAGAAGGTGGTTTTGGCAAGCAGGAATCAGAGCAGCAGCATTTCTTAGCAACTCAGCAATTCAGCTGCGATAGTCCAGTGTGGCAGATTCCACCCTCTACCCACCACAGGGATCAGAACTGGTACAGCTGCTTGTTAAGACCCTGGTCACTGTTGGAAAGAAACTGAAATCCTTGCTGTTTCACCTCCTTCTCCTTCTTAAATTGTTTTAAGTATTCCAAGATGACTTTCAATGTTCTGTTGGTCTTTGCTAGGATATAATATATTGGTCCTACATTTCTCTATAAAATTTCAGTGACTTTACCTAAGAGTTTGCCAGTCTCTTCTATCAAGCACTCAAAATGTCTTGGGTTACTTCTAAGAAGGCTAACCACTTTTCTTAGGTGTTAATTTCCCTATTTTGACTTCAATAGGTTACCTATTGAAGTATTTGGAGTAAAAGAGACTATCACAGTCACCTGGTGGCCCTATAACAATATTTATTACGTAATTAAATAAAATACTAGTGGCTAAGAACTATTGAGCCCTTACTACTACATGCCAGATAAAAAAACTATATGTTTCATATCTAGTATCTCATTTAACCCTCATAACAAACCTAGGAGGCGCAGGAACTATTATTATCCTCCATTTTATAGATGCAGAAACAGGTAAGCAAAGTCTGGTCACCCATGGTTTTAACTGCTCTAATATATTGTCTCCACCAATCATAACAGGCGTGATTGATTCCATTAGCCCTAAGCTACAAAGTCAGGCACTAGTGTAAGTACTAGATATGATACAGTATGAATGATTGTTTAAAATGTAATTCCTTTATAACGTAAGGATTTGGGTTGGACTTAACACTTCTATTTCAGAACTAACCATGTTATATAAAATTTGTATTGCATGAGTTTTCATATTTCAAGGGCGTGATTTAGCTTGTGTACATCCAACTGCATGAAGTAAGGAAAGTGGCTATAATAGAATGCCATGGTGTGTATTAACATTCCCATTGGAAAAGCTTCCTCAGAACTACAAATTTATGACTCGCATGCTTAATGGGGGTCAGGTTGAACACTGTAACAAGCTGCCAGGTAATCTGATGCATACTTTGAGCACAGGGACTCTGCTTCCAGGAAATGCATAAAACTTAAGTATAGACAGGTCCTCAATGAGGGTGTGTTCAGAAGGCTTGTGGCCAAGAACCATGACATTAACGCAACCCATTAGAGACTTTTCCTTCTTTTATCATTCAGACTGTATACATCAGATCAGTGGTTTTAAAAGCAGTTTGCCACTAACAGCAATCCATCACAAGTTTTCACAGGTTTTTGATTTCTTATAAAATAAAAAATAATGTCATTGGAAACATCTCTGTTAGAATATTTGACTAATGAGTCCTGTGTTCAGGCCTCAGGTTGTACTGGGAGGATGTCCAGAGTCTGTGGTCATCAGCTACATCCTGGCTCTTCATTTCTGGAGGAAATATTTTCTATTCCTCTCTACTTTGAAATTCTATAGTTTTGTGTCATGTTTTAATTCCTTTGACATTGTTCTTACAGTGTGGTCATTTGAAAGCTAAATAAAACTACCTGAACTTCTGGATAATCGCCCATATTTTAGTATTTTTCTTTCATTAATGTTCATATATAGTGATTTTGTTTCTCAGTTGGAGGGGTAACTTTATCTACCAAGGGATATATGGCAATGTCTGGAGATATTCTTGGTTGCCACAACTTGGGGGACAGGGGTACTACCAGGATCCAGTGGATAGAAGCCAGGGTTGTTGCTAAACATCCCGTGGTGCCTAGGATGACCCACACCACAAATAACTGTCTGGCCCAAAATGTCAACAGTGTCAAGGTTGAGAAATTTCGGCTTAAGGAAAGCACTTTTGAAAACATTAAGATTTACTTATGCTTAATTTAGTCTGTTGACATGAAGATTTTCATCATGTTTTAATATTCTTATTAATTAAATGGTGCTTGTCTACTTTCTAATTAGCATTAAATGACTTTTCCTATATTTCAGGGCTATAGAAAGATTTTTTAAAGATCTATATAAAGAACAAGAAGTTAGTCCCTTTCGGACAAAAATCTTCAGTAAAATTGATCTGTGCCCCAGGCACACAAAGAAGCAGGAATCTGGGTATTCTCACTGTGAATATTCCGTATGTCTAGCTCCTGGAACCAGAGAATACCAAGGAAGACAGATTATTTGGAAGATATGGATGCCAAATTGCTTCTCAATCCAGTCTCAGAAGCCAGAGATGTCAGTGGGTGCTGCTGTTTTATTTCCTGTGAATCAGAGGATAATCAGAAACCAAATGAAAATATTGCCACAGCTAAGATTGAAAAGAAGGCAATTTATGAGTGAAGTGTGGGTTTCAAATGAGATCTTCTCTGTTGACAGAGAGCCTTTGCTCCAAGCCAATACCTGAGCTTCTGCCAGTTCGACCAATTATAATGGAGGAAGAAGATGAGGGATTAGAAAAAACAAAGCTGACAGATGGCAATTTGTGAAGAGTTGAATCAACATAAATTATATCTCATCAGCGAGCGGAGGAAAGAGAGGATGTTTTCCAGTGTTCGGCTAACCACTGAGATGGTGAGCATGCCAGAGGCACAGCAAGCAAACCACTGGGCACCCTCGAGAGTTGGATGCAAGCACAGAGCTGGAGAAATACCCTTTATTGGAAAGCCATATGGATTGCAAATTGTGGGTAGACATCTATTTGAAACAATACAATAAATGAACATCTGGGATTTTGGAAGGTGTGTGTCATAGACTACAGAAAATCAGAACAAAAATTGCCCGTAACTAGATATGATAATGCAGAAAGTATCCGAGACTCGCCAGTACAAAACCCACCTTTTTAATAGTGTATAAAGTAAGTATAAATGTTTTTTTTCTGAGTTTGGAAAGAGTTGACTGAAATCATATAAAATGTTTAAGCTATCAATTTTTTCTGTAACCTTAAAATTTCCTTCTTTGAACCTAAGTAATTAAACATTAATGTTAACTTTCCAAACTTTTGTAACTTCAAGGGAAATAGAAAAGTCAACTTGTCAGCCTCAATACAATAACATATAGTATAAAATAATATAGATATGGATATACATAAAAATGACTTTAAGTCATGATAATTATAACTTTGGGAGTTAAGTAAAAAAGATCTCCAAATTCAAATATAACGAAATTAGGTTCATGTGAAATAAAAATCTTTTAGCAAGATTTCTGCGTGAAGATTTTTCATTGTATGAAAACCCTGTTTTCTCTAGTGAACAAACTAGAACCCAGTCAGAATACCTAGACCAGCAGATGGCACTACAAGGAAAACTAATAGTCTCAGATTTTCATAGGGCTTAAAATTATAGAATGGGAAGATTTCAAAGTGAATATAAAATAGATTGAAATCTATGTTTCTGATTATATATGTAAAGGCAAAGAAACAGATTTTGGGAAAAGCAATATAAGGCTTATGTCTACTTTTTTTTCTTCATTTTGAATGATAGGCTGTGGTACAAATGAGTTTTACACATCCTAAAGATTGTTTCTAGTCAACAAATATATTTTCTCAAGTTATCATTAAAATGATTATGCAGAGATATTATCATAACAGTTGTTCAACTGGGAAAAGCAGCAGGTGGTTAACTTCTTGTAAGAAACTAACAGCATCTCAGTGGGTGGCCTATTGCAAGGGGCAGTTTGAGGTTCATAAAGATTTTTGTGACCCTCCTGTATGCCTCTACCATTTGAGGATTTTGTGTAGGACAAACATTTGTAAAGGCAGAAAACAGTATTTAATATTTAATGAAGTAATCCCCCACTGATGCTTCACAGCAGATGTGCTTGACTTAGTAGAATGTTGGAAAGAAAATGTACAGACAAACACATTAAAAATTATCAGACATCTTCGTAGCCTCTCCCTGCAGGTGTCTCTGAAGGGTGATTACCTTCTGCACAAGATGGAAATAAAAATGGGGAAAATGTTTTGGTACAAAAGTACAAGAAGTGATTTAACGATGGGCAGGAGTCATAAGCTCCAGATGCATTATTATTTTTTTTTGTTACTTCCAGTTTTACCTTTTTTTCAAGACGAGTTCTACATTATATGCAGGACTTACAGAGGAACAATAAGACAGTCTTTAATAATTCATATCTGAGATGAGTGAAAATAGAAGGGTGCATCTTATTATGAAGACATCAACTGGATTAGTTATTCTAGCACACAGGAGACACTACAAAACCATCTTCATTCCCACTGAAAAGGCACATTCTTTTCTTTTCTGTCTTGGAAATTTCTGATGTTGGCGGGATTAAGATTCTCAGATAAGCACCCCTTTGATTCTTAATGGTTTGCTCCCCTTTGGGGTTTAAACTTAAGATCTAGATGTAGTTTTGCCAGCCAGCAAGACAAGAGAAGGAGACAATAAGAAAATGAACTTGGGGAGCGAAAAGGTCACTTTTTCCATCATGCTCGATGCATATTTTGATGTGAACTGGCAGAAAGAGTTGCCGCAGGAAACCGTGTTATGAGCGGCATCAGTACTGCCTTGTTGAACAACTGAACAGTGTATGCTGCTTCCTCGAGACCAAATTCTGTCATTTGAATCTGAAATGGCAGCTGTGTCAAAACAAATTTACATTATGAAGACCTAATTCCAATTTCTAAAATGCTGATTCAAAAATCTGTGTAACTCGGCAGCAATCAATTATATTTGTCAACCTCTTTGAATAACTGTTTATTAATTTCTCAACACTCCAAGACTGGATCCCACGTGGCCCCGTGGTATAAAAGCTATATTTTCTGAATCAATAATAACTGTCATTTATTAGACTTCTGACATCTAACGATCTGGCAGACTAGACATTATGAAGAGTTGATTAGCTAAAGTACTGATAGATTCTGAATAGATTATAAAAAGCGCGATTTTTCAAGCACTGCTGACCTCATAAGTAAATGCAGAGAGTTTTCAAGGCCAAAACAAGCAAACAAAAATGACTGCAAACAAGAGAACATAACAGTGGGTTGCGATTGCACTTGAGCATAGCAAGAAGCTGGGTTTTTCCTGGGGTCAGATGCCCACACCAGGAGTAGGTTTGGACCTGGGACCCACCTCCGAAAGTGGATAAAGTTGAAATGTTAGGAGTTCCTTGTAGGCACATTATCGGTGGAGGAAAGCAACCCAGGAACTCAGAACTCTCATGGATTGTGTGGTCAAACATAGTCAAACACACAATCATCACACACCCAAGGAAACAAACCAGCAGAGTGAGAGTTTGCAAAAGCAATTCATCAGTATATTTTACCTCCTGAACAAAGACTTCAGATGACTGGCATGATCAGATTTGAAATAGGAAAGAACTATCACAATCAAATATAGAATTTTTAAAAGTAAGCAGGAACTAAGGACTATCAAAAATGCAGATGAAATACAAAGTGTAATTCTTGAAATGTTCTAGACAGCGTATTATGCACAGATGAAGAGAGAATTAATATCATACTTTAGTTCAATTTAAAAGGAAGCCCTGCACCTCCTGAAAGAAGGGAAAAAATAATAAACATCAAGATAAATCCAAGTTACCCAGAATGCAGCCTGGAGATAAGGATTTGAAGACAAAAGATTATGTGGAGGACACAATGAGAAGGCTGAAACATAAATGTCATCAGTATTTGAGAAGAAAAAGTGCAGAACATAGGGGCATGGATAGAGGAGAAAAACAAAATTATGGGGGTTACAGCAGAAATAACAGAAGCTAAAAGACTGGAAAATAACACCTTCAAAGTGCTAAGAAAAAAACAACTGGCAACTCATAACTATATACCTGCTGTGCTTCCTGAGTTCGAGTGATTCTCTTACCTCAGTCTCCCAAGTAGCTGGGATTACAGGCACCAGCCACCATACCTGGCACATTTCTGTATTTTAAGTAGAAACAGAATTTCACCATGTTGGACAGGCTTGTCTCAAACTCCTTATCGCAAGCGGTCCTCCCACCTTGGCCTCCCAAAGTGCTGGGATTACAGATGTGAGCCACTGCGCCTGGCCCGAAAAAAATTTGTATAGAAAATTAAAATATTTAAATTGTGAAATTAAATAATGAGCTAAGATACTGATTTTTTTTAATACCACATAAGTTGAAAGATGTGAAATTGGATTTAATCTTCTAAGCCTGTTATTGTTCAGAAGCAAGGTTAAAGTAGAGATGCAGGTAACATTTTGAGGGTAAATACTAAAAACACAGAAACAGTGAATCACAAATCAGTACAAGGAGAAAGAGAAAAATAAAAACAAAACAATTTTAAAAACCAACAAAAATCATGGAAAATGGAGGACAGATAGAAGGCACAAAGCAAGAAGCTTGAGACAAGTCTAGGATTTCTATTTCTGGTTGTATAAATGATATTTATTTATTTTTATTTTTGAGACAAAGTCTTGCTCTGTTTCCCACGCTGGAGTGCAGTGGCACGATCTCAACTCACTGCAACCTCCGCCTCCCAAGTTCAAACGATTCTCTTGCCTCAGCCTCCCAAGTAGCTGGGACTGCAGGTGCCCGCCGCCACGCCCAGCTAATTTTTGTATTTATAAATGATTTGATACCTGAGACGACCTTTTCAATGCAAATTAGTAGAAGTTTGGATAAGACAAAAATAAATTATTTAAATGCACAAAATATGGAATATGAGATGGTATAAGATTAATAAATGCATAGATCCCCAAAGTGAAGTGAGAGCAGGAATCCAGAAAGACATGGAGACACCAAAGCCAGATTTCACCCTCAGGGTTTCTGCTGGACCTGGAGAACTTAGGCAGCACATCACCCCCACCCTTTGGCCACCGCACAGGAGTTAAGCATAAGATCCCAGGGCCTACTCAAGGTGGAGAAATTTAATAGAAGCAGTCTGCATAAATTTGTGATCTCACAGAGCAACATCCTTTGCGTCAAGGTTAGTGAGAAGCCCACAGTGAAACAAGCTGTCTTACCCTTGGTGCTGGGTAAAGGGAGGAAATCTTCCCTGAGGATTCATGTTCATAAATTTGTCCTCGTATAGGCTTTTGGTCTAAGGTTATATTAGCAAAGTGTTCAAAAAAGACTTCAAACTGATAATTTAGAACAGAATGGTGTTAGCAGAATCCTAAAGCAGCAGACAGAAGCAAACAAATGTTCTCTAGAAGAACTGAACCTCAACTCACACCTCAGAGAATTCCTGGCAACCCAGTTCTAAGAAAGTGAGCAGCTTTCAGTCAAAAGGAACATGTGCAAATGAGGAGGACAGAATCAACAGACAACGGAAAGAGATTATCCAGATTACACGAGAACTTCAATATATTGAAGGAAATAAAAGAGAAGATTGAAAAATGAACAGAAAACAGTCTATTAAGAAGGCCCATGCAGATTTGAAAGAGAACTAAACAAACTTCTAGAACCGAAAGTTATAATAATTAAAAATTGACAACTTGGACACATTAAACAAATTACACTACTAAGAAAATCAGTGAATGACTGAGACAGATCAATCTATCCAGAATGTAGTACAGAGATAGAGATGAAAAAGACAAAATAAAGGTTGACACAAGGAGAGCTGAGTGAAATTTAACACAGTTAACTGAGGTTTCAGAGAGTGATAAAATCAAACAGAGACAAAAGCTGGGGAGAAAATATCAGATCCAAGAAACCCAGTGAACAGCAGAATAGATAATGGGTTTTTTTTAAAAAAATAAAGACATATAATGAAACTTCAGAATGCCAAATAGAGAAGATTCTAGAGGCCAGAGAGAAAAGATGGACTAAGACCAAGGAAGAACTGGCATTGAGATTAATGTCTGACTTCTCAAGGACAGCAATGGAAGCCAAAAGACAGTGGAATAGTAGCTCTGGGGTGGTGAG